TGTATTTTTAGGTTTGAGGGTATTTTTTTATTTTGGGGGGGGTAACTTTTTTGGTAAATTTTTGGACTTTTAAGGGTATTTCTTGTCATTTTTGGCCAATTTAGGGAATTTTTCTTCATATGAATATATATTTGAATATTTTCAGGTCATCAAAATCCGGGCCCTGCATATTACATTTTTGGGTCATATTTTAGGTAATTTTTCTGGATTTTTTCGGTCATTTTTTAAATATTTTCAGGTCATCAAAATCCGTGCCCTGGTAATGACATATTTTGAGCGATATTTAGGGAATCTGTTTTAACCAAACACTGGTCAGACTTACAGGAATGTTACATTCATAATCGATTATGAATTTTATTTTAAGAGTGGGAAAAATATTAGTTTTCAATTACTTGTATTTGTATTGTACTTTTTAGAAGTTCTTAATTGTAATTTTGAAAGACTTTTATTTGTGTTAAAATATATGTAGTCTCATTTAGAAAGTTCTGGACCATTGAATATGTACGTTCCTGTTTCGATGTTGTGATGTATCAAACAAACAAACAAAACTCCGTGGCCTGTAGTCCGCAAATGAACAACTCCGTGGCCTGTAGTCCGCAAATGAACTATACCGACCGAGAGACCGCCGCTTGTCGGCAAAGTTATTGCCAACTTTAGCGGATAGATGGTGTCGCGTGGTCAGCGCAACGGATCCCCACGGCCGCTAATCTCGGTTTTCTAGACCGGAGCCGCTATTTGCTTCAAATAGCTCCTCAGTTATCCTCAGGAAGTTGAGTGAACCACGTTCCAGACCCACTACTTCTCAGAAAATCTGGTAGCGCCGGGAATCGAACCCGGAACCTCTGGCTCTGTAGCCAGGAACTCTGACCACTAGACCACAGAAGGTATCACATTATCTAAATTCACTGAACTGCACGTGTTTTGAAGGACTGCTGGGAAATATGGCGCTTACAGATGGAGACAGGATCCAAGGATAAAGCGGAATTAAGGTGACAAACTGAAGGAGACGAAGTTCCGACGCCAAAAACGAAGCCCCCGAAAGTCTAAACCGATGTAGTCTGAGACGCTTTCGTGGTTTATCCAGTCCACCCAAGAAACTGCCGATATGTTCCCCCGAAACACGTCACGACCGCTTTATTCTGCATCCCAACCAATTACTACAGTAACACTGTAGCTTAGCATTTCATATTAAATTGCGTCTGTAGTTATTGCAGTGTACCTAACGATCGCATGTTCTTAAAAGCCGGTGCATTAAACTATTATTATTGAAAAATGGTAAAAAAAAAGAATAAAACTAGCCTTGTAACAGGCCGTGAAGGCCCATACGGTTGTGAGACGTCGAGGTTCCCACATTTTCTAGACAGTTGGCTCACAGATGGCGGTGAGGCTGTCAGCCTTACGCGTATGCCACCCTTTACTCCCAGGAAGATTCCTGATACTAGTTTCTGTTAAAGGCTGAGTCGACTCCAGAGCCATAGTGCGGCTGAAAGGATTAGATCAATTGAAAAATCCAATGAACTCATCGGGATCCGAACCCGCGACTAAGCTTGTAGCATAGTGCCTCGACAAACTACGCTATCGCTGTCCCCTCTTATTATTAAATATATTCTTAATTGGTATGGAAATCTCACGAGAAGGTTATAAAATTATATGAACTGGTTAGTATATGCCTTTTTGTACCTTATGATTTCGAAGTTACTGAGGTGCGAAAATCACTGAGTAATATATGTACATATCTCGGAAGCTTGAAAGGTCACTCCACCGTATAAAATAATTTATTATTGTAATTTTACTTTTGTAATGGCTTTTAAAACTTGATGCTGTAGTAACGTTAATTAAACCTGTAAATAATAACAAAATAGTAAATAACAAATGAAGAACGTCGTCTTCTGGGTTTAGGCGCCGTGTATTCTTCGTTTTGGCCAAAACGTCATCGCCGTGAAAATCTCAAAACTTACATAAACAAATGAACACTTCGCTGTATTTGCAGTGGACTTGATGCTAGCAAGCGATGGATACCGCATCAGATGAACGTGGGTTGATAATCGCACAGAACGCCTCGGAGCTCATGTACAGCCCAGCACATCTGCAAAGATGTGAGAAATGGGTTCAAAATTTTCGCTTGTACTGTACGGTTCTTGCAGTTAACACACTCATGCAATTGAAAGGTATATCTATTACCATCTGGTCGCGCCTCTCACTGCAGGTTGTTTATAGTAGGCCATGACCTTCGACCCTTCCAGCATCTTGTTGTAGGTCACACAGAAATGACTTGTCAGTGGTTAAAGTTGGAGTGAGAACTGCACGTGACATGATGTTACTTCAGTGAGGAAAGTAACCTTCGCTGCTTCTACAGGCGCTTATGTTCTTGTTTTCACTGGCCTCTTTTGAGCCCCCCCCCACAATATGACCAGCTTGGTTTGCTGGTGAAAAAAGTATAAGTGCAGTTGGAGTAACGAACTTTGTGACCCTGCACGAGAGCAGTACGATTCCTGCGGGAACTTAGGAAGCCTCAATTCCCTTGCGCTCTTGAACGTATCAAACAGGCCACTGCATAGACAGATACGACAGGTAGGTAGACAGGCAGACGGATGTATGGATGGGTAGGTGGGTAGGTGGATGGATGGATGCATGTATGGATTGGTGGATGGGTGGGTAGGTACGTAGGTAAGTGGGTAGGTAGGTAGGTGGATGGGTGGGTAGGTACGTAGGTAGGTGGGTAGTTAGGTAGGTGGATGGACGGATGCACGTATGGATTTGTAGATGGGTGGGTAGGTACGTAGGTGGGTAGGTGGATGGATGGATGGATGCATGTATGGATTGGTGGATGGGTGGGTAGGTACGTAGGTAGGTGGGTAGTTAGGTAGGTGGATGGATGGATGCATGTATGGATTGGTGGATGGGTGGGTAGGTACGTAGGTAGGTAGGTGGATGGATGGATGGACCGACGGACGGACTGACGGATAGACAGACAGATAGATGAAAAGAATGTTAACGAAACAAGATATAAAATAAATAATGGAGAAGAAACACGCTAAGGAAGAAATATAGACAGCTACGAAGTGTTTTTTTTTTTAATTTTGCGTATTTTATGACGATAATTAGTAATTCTCATGCTGGTCTACTTGTAGTTCATTGAGAATGAGTCATGGGTTAGACATTTTTGAGAGATTACTGTGGACAAACACCATCACAAGATCCCCTCCCTGGGTACTGAGGTTAAGTGTGTCTGACAAGCATTAGCGTCTCAGCATTTCCGTAGACACGCATTAACACACACGACTTCCATATTCAGGCTTTGACCATGAAGGTAAATTGCTACACCAAACAGTCTGTGTAGGTGTAGCATTCTATTGTTACTTCATTGGACCCATATTAGCTGTTTCTCGATGATCATGACAGCTTCGACCTAAACTTTAAGCGTTTGTGAGATTGGCAGGGCATGTCGCACGCACGGGGGAAATGAGAACGGAAAATCCGCAAGGAAGACACGACTTGAGAGACACAGGCAAAGATGGGATGATATTATTACAACAGGTTCTAGAGAAATAGAGTGTGAATGCGAAGAATAGGTTGATCTACCATAGAGACTAGTGGCGTGGTCTTGTACATACTGCAATGAACCTTCGGGTGACTTGACTAACTGGGCGACCATTAAATACTGAAGAAAGTTTCCCCAATATCAAATCAAATGATAATCATTCCTCAGCTTTCAAGGTGTTTCATGCTTACAGACGGACGGACAGAGCGATTTCAACTGTCGCTCCGCAGAGATGCGAACACGCCTTGAAACTTAATGACTAGCTTCACCAAATACTGTTAGGGTGATAAAGTTAGGGAAGATGGGATTGAGGACGCATGTAGCACGCACTGGGGAGTGGAGCGATGCACACAGAGCTTTCGTCGGGCAAAAAAGGGAAGAGACCATTTTGAAGACCTAAGCACAGATGGGAAGATTATATTTAAATTTGAGTTTTGAGGTTCTCACGGCTATGAATATGAAATGACACCGTGAAGTTTGACAGATACAACCTTATCTACCAAACTGCATGGGTTCATGCCCCAGAAGGTCGTGATCTTCATAATGAATTAGACCTGAAAGGAACAGAGAAGGACCGAGCAAGTTCACTCAAGCGGCAAAGCTTCGAACTCGCATTTTGAGAGCCGCAGGTTCGAATACCAGGCTGGTTACCGACTTACCTGTTTTCATGGTTGTCTTAGTCTGTCCCATCAGATGACAAGATGATACGTTAAATTAGGACACAGCCGCTTCCTTCCTAACACTTTCCAATTCATTATTCGCTATGATCCAATCACTCGATGCTACGTAGTCTGTGGTCCACTCATGAAGCTGAGCCCTTCTTGAGAAGCTGCCAATTGTGCAGCTACTCAAGAACTTCCCAGCATTTTATGGGACCTGAAAGTTCATTACCGTGTTCACAAGAGCCCTCCAGCGGTCCCTATCCCGAGCCAGATCAATCCAATCCATACCATCCCATCCTATCTCTCTGAGATCCATTTTAATATTGTCCACCCACCTACGCCTTCGTCTTCCCAGTGGTCTCTTTCCTTCCGGCTTTCCCACCAATATACTATATGCATTTCTCCTCTCCCCCATTCGTGTCACATGCCCTTCCCACCTCATCCTCCTTAGTCTGTGGTACTGAAAGCATCTTGAAATAAGAACAGAAAAACAAACTCCGTGGCCGCAAGTGAACTATATCGACCGAGCGACCGCCGCTTGTCGGCGAAGTTAGTGCCAACTTTAGCGGATAGAGGGTGTCGCGTGGTCAGCGCAACGGATCCCCACGGCCGTTCATATCGGTTTTCTAAACCGGGGCATCTTGAAATAAAGCATAAATAAAATAAATAACAGTTGAAATAGAGTGTTGACATAAACTTACAAAATAAATGAAGTGGTTTATTTTTATCTTAAAGCGGTGCGTGGAAAGGGTTAAGGAAGGAAGGTTTGGCCTCGAGATATGAGCCTTGGATTTGTGCGATGAGAGAATTAGCCAGCAATTCCACGCATTATCCTTACATTATCCTTACACGATGCGAAAAAATAAAGCCGTTAAATTAAAAGGACTGTTTGTAGCGACACCAAGGACGAAGTCCTGCGAACACAGGAGAAGTTCGCTGCAGTAGAGTGTGTCAACAGTGTTTCTGCTTGACTACGTAACGTTGTTTGATGGCAGCTAATTGCTCCCACCTTCTCTGCGTCAGAAGAGTCTGTTTATTCGTAACAGCAGCACGGTTATGTCTGCATCAGCGTTAATGTGACCACAATACAGCAATACGTGAACACGCTTGTATACAATTTACCATGGAGGAAGAAGATGACAGGTAGGGGAGTGTGCTCTGTTTTCATTATTTCAAAGACGCTTTCTGAACTCGCCGCTTATACACAGCTTCGCACAGGAGAATTCCTGTGAATGATGGGTTGGAAGAGCTGAGGCAGGAAATGGTAGTCTCATACTCGTATATTAATATATCCCAGCGTTTCCCTGGAAGCAAAGAAGAAAACTACGATTGGTGTGAATTGGGCTCTCGGGTCAAGAATTGAATAGAAAACAGTGCTTATCACTCGACCGCGAAGTTAAGTTAAATGCTATGGATTTATCTTTCAAGTAGTAATGTTTAGTATAGGCATTATATCATAAAGTATGATTTAATTTCTGATTGTGCAGTACTGAGTGAGCCGATCACTCGTCGCACGGTTTAAGGCATGGACTGTCTTCGTTTGCTTGACCTCTGGGATCGTGGGTTCGAATCACATTCAAGGCGTGAATATCTGTGTGCGTTTATTCTGTATTTGTGTTGTTCTGTGTGTCAGTAGCGGCCTAGCAACGGGCTGATCCCCCGTCTAAGAAGTCCTGCTTACTGTGTATAGAATTAAAAAACCGGAAAAGCCGCCAGTGTCTAACGAAAGGACTGCAGAGCCATAGACACATAGTACTCAGTGATGAGTTAGCCCTGAAAATAAATCGGTTTATTATCGTAAAGGGTCACACGGCCGCTGTGCATATGTGGCAGTTATACATGCCTGATATGGTAGCATTCACCAAAACACTTTTCGCTCGCAAGAAGCGCACGAACGGCCCTGGCTACGACTTTGAAACAATGAAATTCATCCATCCTAATTAGGGGTAATGTTTTTGTATCCTAACATCATATTGGTCCTGTAACTAACGAGTTATCAAGATGTTTAAGTCTAATTATACTTTGAAATTACTACAGACATGCAATCCAAGCTATAGGCTCGGGTGGTTTTGATAATTTAAAGCAATACAGGTAGGACCATTAATTTGTGTGTGCGTGTAAAAAATCTTTATATCTGTGTACTAATGGGAAGCCTCGCGTGACCACGTTGAATTGTCCCCATTTAAAGCATAAGGTATCAAATTTTTTCTAAAACCGATCTACCTCATGTGGCGTTCTCGAAGAACATAACCCCGGGTTGGAGGGGGGTTCACTGTACTCAGATAAACTGAATAATTAACACCGCAACAAACGTTTTCCCACCAGTAAATATACGTNAAAAAGAGCTAACCACCATCACTAGACAACGTGTACAATAAAAAGTGTGGGAAAACATGCACAGACCTGAAACTAAGACAGATAAGGAGATGGACATTTTATGCAACAAACCGAGTCCATGAAAGCCAATGCCTAGGATCAAGTGGAGAAAGTTGTGAAACCTACGCAAATAAAGTTTCACAACATTCTCCAATTAATTCAACTGTTATTGTTCATTTTACCTGTTGCCTCTCATTGACAAAGCCTGGTCTCAGGTCTATATATAGCTGTAGTTATTTTGACAGGGGTTGTACAGTGACTGCGGTCAGCTGTTTCTAAGGGGCCCAGCATAGTAGGTGTCTCCCCCCACCCTAATATGAGGACGGAACCAGATGCAGTTTCCGAAACGTTGTGTTCTCTAGTTTTTAGAATACCGGAGGATGGACAAAGTCCAAAAGCCCAGTAATTCTGAGCAATATACACCATCGTCAGAACCTT